TTCAACGGAACCACATCCATCATCCAGGAGGACTGCAGCCACCGTTTATACGGACTGCTACCAACACCCTGACTGACAGGGTGTCAGGTTGTATTTCTGACTGTGTCGGTGGTTGTTTCTTTTATATTATTGCATGTATTTTATTTTTTTTTCTTTTCTCCTATTAAATTGTATTACTGACTTGGAGTCTATCACTGGTTTTATTTTCAAACCAACACAGCAGCCCATCCAGTTACTTGTAGCCACTGAAGGACAGCAAGCTCATGGTCAAGAGCTCCTTCTCTCCATGACAAGAGTGCTCCAGCAAGGCTGCCTACAGAGTTCTGCTGCCTGCAATGAGCCTGAGACATGAAGGTTGACAAAATATTTGGGGTTTCAAGTAACAGTCTGTTCTTCATGCATCTGATGCCCATGACACCAGCAGTAGACCTGCAGGTCAACACAGACTTTGGAGTTGTGAAACCTGTACTCAGCACATCCTGTCCCAACAGTGTGGGGCTGCCCTGGGCCAGGACATCAGCAACCACTCTTAAATTAGCTTGATGGGCTGAATTTAGTTTAATTTCTTTTCTCTTTTGTTTTTGGGGTTTTTTTTAAATGCTTCATCAGGAGGTCTTCTGGAATCCCTTAATTTTGTTCATTTTTAAACCAAAGGGAATGAAGACTGCGGCATGGGATCACTGACTGCCAATAGCATCTTCCGAAGCTGAGTTTTACCTCTCTTCCAGAAGCCTTTCTTCTTTTTCTTTTTTTAACATGACCTACGTCATGTACTATGTGCTCCTTGGAGGAGGAGAAGCATTGGATACTCTTGCACTTTAAGTAACTTGTTCCTGATGATTTTTGTTTCACTGCTCATCCTATCAGTGAGAAAGGAATAGTGTTCCAGCACATACTTAGAGACAACTTAACTAGCAGCCCTTGGAATATTGATTTCTCTTGGCCAGTGATGTTTTTAATGTGTTTAAAATAGTTGTGCCTGTGTTGCATTTCCTGAACCTCTGCTTTTTGCAGTAGTTTTGTATCTCCTTGAGTATGCATATAAGTAATTTTATTTTTCTGTTTCTGTAGATTTCATTCATGATGTTGTTTAATCATATATTTTTTCCCCCTTCTCTTTCTTTTTTTAATCTGTCCATTTAAGGTTTGGCAGGAAGAATGTGCTATTTGCAACTCTGGCAATGCAGACTGGCTTCAGTTTCATACAGGTCTTCTCTACCAGCTGGGAGATGTTTTCAGTGTTGTTTGTGCTGGTTGGCATGGGACAGATATCTAACTACGTGGCAGCATTTGTTCTTGGTATGAAAGCCCTGCTGGTCACTGCATGTGTCCTTTCATCTTGTGTTTTTCTGCTCCTTTTCAGTACTGACTTAGGGTTGATTTGTTTTGCCAAGCAACACTGTTAAGAATGTGGCCTCACCATGCATGAATAACTTCTCGTTGGAAGCTTCCAACTGATAGAGGTGTAATTTGAACTATGGTTTACCATCCTAAAAGAGTCAAAACCCCAGATACTGACTATTTGAAATAAAGTCCATCTTCTAGTTGGAGAGATAATACATGTGAGACAAGATTTTTGGGGGATTGGAACTAGATGATCTTTAAGGTCCCTTCCAACCCAAACCATTCTATGATTCTATGATTTTTCAGGGATTTTTGATGTCCATTTTGGGGCCTAAATACCTGTTTAAATTAAGTTGCAAAAGAACCAAAATAGGTAGAGTAATTTTTATAAAGTCTTCTTTAAACAGCCTATAGTAAAATTTTAAATTACTTTTGCTTTATATACTTTCAATCTAACTAAGACCATATTTAGTCATGGCAATCTGAATTACCTCATGAATCTGAGATTTAAAAAAAAAATTATTGATGTTATTTACAGTGACCTCACTGTCCGAAGTACCAAATGGTGGCAAGAAATTATTTTTGAGACAAGGAAGGCCAGTTCAGGAGTGAAAGCAGTGCTTAGCTAACCTCACTGCACACAGCCTGCTGCAACTGCTGACATCTTCTTTGATTTCCATGGAAACAAGAAAGATCATATCTTTTTTTCTCTGTCTCTTGATTTGCAGGTCCCAAAACATTTCAGAGGGGGGCACTGACTCCTGTTCATGCATTTAATTCCTCTGACAGTTGCCTGGTCTTTGTGACTAACATGAATTCCATATGTCTACCCCAAGAGACTGAGGTTTTTTGGCTAAATAGTCTTTTAGAGGTGTTACAGGTTGGGAACTTAGTTTAGGCAGCTTTGAATTATTCCTTAAAGAAGGTGGTCACTCTTCATAAGCTGGAGAGGATTCTGGAGATCAAGCTACAGTTAACTGTTGAGAATGTCAGGGGATTTCAGCTCCTTTGGTAAAATGTGAGATTCTAAAAAGATAAAATTACATAAATCTGACCTACATAATGAGCTACAAAAGTGCTCTGTGGCCCAGTTCTCATTCTTTTACGCATATAATTACCTCCATTGATGCAGAATCACAAAATGAAGCAGCTCTGTGGTTCCTCTCCAGCTAGACAGCAGAGTGCTATATCCTGCAACTTTGCAGTGCAGTGCATTTCAAAGCCAATTGCTAGGGGTATTTTTATTAAGTTACTTGGTTGCTATTAAGTTTAAATGCTAATAATCCCTTTGCTGTTTTGAACAGGCGCAGAAATCCTTGGCAAATCAATCCGTGTGCTGTTCTGCACCCTGGGTGTGTGCGTCTTTTACGCATTTGGTTACATGTTGCTGCCTCTGTTTGCTTTCTTCATCCGAGACTGGCGGATGCTGCTGCTGGCACTTAGCCTGCCTGGGCTGCTCTGCATCCCACTCTGGTGGTGAGTATAATTAACTTACAAGTCTTTAGAAGGTCCTGTCTGCAGATTTTTAAGATGATGAAGCTAATGAAATTCAGGAATGGGTAGGTGAAGAATGGATGTTGTGTCCTTTACTCGCCCAGTTGTTTAGCTGTCAGTCCATGGCATTGTATGTGATCTGACTGATGCCCAAAAAACCTACTCTTCATTTTCTATAGGCTTCTGTAAAATTAAGTCTTCCACATGCAAAGAAAGCAAAAAAATGGTTGATAAAACTCATACTTCTGCACTGAAATCCACAGGCTTTTAAGTATAGGTGTGAACTAAGGGCAGAAGGAAAAATCAGTTGTTCTGGGCATTGATAGGGTGACACAGATATGACCAACTACAAAACAGTACTTGTACAGCTGTGGCACTTCCGTGTTTTCTTCTATAGTTGTTAAAATACTACTTTTGAGTGGCATGTAAAGCTGAAATAGTCCACGTGGTGGTGGTGTTCCTTCACTTTCTGTAGCATTTATGTTTGTATTTCCATCTCAGTTCTTACACAATCGAATGACTGGGGAATTCTGCTCTCTGACTTGCCTTTCTGTGACAGAATTTACAGTTACTAATCTTATATATGTTAGCCTTTAAGGATATGCTTCTTAACCTACAGCATGCTACTTGTGTGTTCACATTTCTGCATTTCTTAAATTAATCCCATACTTTGAATGTTTGGATTGCTCTTTTTTCTGTGTCACTACCAACTCCTTCAGCACTTCTGAAATCAGTGAGGGAATATTAGTCTGGTCTTGTTCCTTACACTAGTCTGCTCTTGTAAATCTGATTTCTGTTGTCACTGTACTAATTCCTGGAAGATGCGGCACATTTGGAAGATGCAGCACATTGCCTGGAGCAATGTGTTGGTCCCTTCAGCAGTGCTTTCTATGGAAATGTAGCCTTGTTATTCTGAACCTTCTCTGCAGGGTCATTCCAGAATCTCCTCGGTGGTTGATCTCCCAGGGGAGGTTTCAGGAGGCAGAAGACATAATCCGAAAAGCTGCAAAAAGTAATGGCATTCCAGCCCCAGATGTAATACTTGACCCTAGTGAGGTAAGACTTGTTTAGCAGTCCAAGTATGATTACTTGTTTGCTGTACTTTATGTAAAGCCATTCATTCCATACACATGAACGCAGTTATGCCTGCACTGCATTATGTGCTTCTCAAGTGGGTGAAAGATCATAGTTTTCTGCTGAAAAGCACAATACCCTTTCCCTTCATTGAGATTTGCAAAACTTTTGTGGTCCCATGCCCATGGGAATACCAACATACATTCTAATGCAAATATCTTTTTCATCCAGTTTACAGCTGCCCTTTTTCCATTTAAACTCTATTTTTCAGGGGAGGATAATAAATTTGAGGTACCTATTGCTTAGTGCTCTAAATATTTGCACCGAACAGATTTTCTGCTTATTCAGTCTATAATATAACTCTATATAAGTCTAACACAGAGCTAATCCTGGCCAGTGACATTGGAAATACTGTTATTCTAGTTCAATTTCTAATCCACATTACAGAAAGCAAAACTTGAGCCCCTTTCAGATGAAGTAGTGACAGGTATCTTTCCCATCTCTTTCTTCCTACATGCTCCTGTTTTCTCTGGAAATCTTCCCTTTGGGTGAAGAACCTCTATCTGATACCCAACATAAACGTTCCCTGACTTAGCCTCAGGCAGTTTCCTTGAATCCTGTCACTGGTCACGAGAGTTAAGAGTTTCAGTCTAAATTTTAAGTGACTTTAAATTAGAAAGGAGCTTCTACTTTCACAAGTAGTTTACATATGTTTTGTTAGAAGTTGGGCACCTGTTTCAGCAGATCAAAATACTGAGATGTAAGTTGGTGGTAGGACTTAGTTTCATAATAATTAGTTTAATTATTTTTGTAGGAATTTAAAGTTCCCATGTTTTGTTTGTTGTTTGCTCTTTTACAGCTACAAGATGTGAATTCCCAGAAGCAGCAGACATACACCATTTTGGATCTGATGAAAACCCGAAATATCCTAACTATCACAATTATGTCAGTGCTTCTTTGGTAAGCAAGTGTGATTCAGGAGTATGTAGCTTTAAATACTAAAGTATTCTGAATAGATACAGACAAAAGCAGCTCAAAAATCAATGACTAGCTGGCTGAAACAACAAAATTCTTCTTACATAGGTTCTTCATTTTGGTGACAGTGTAGAAACACATCTAGGCTGGTGTTCCTTTCTGAAACGGGCTTGTCCTGAACTGAGCAAGAATCCGATCAGCTGACAATGGATGTGTGGGAATGCTGCCTGATCCTGGGCCTTGGGGAATGCTCTTCTGGCTGTAACAAAGTCTTTTTAGAGAAATGAGTCATGCGCTACCCCCAATCAGAGAATTGCCCAGGGATCTGAACATGATGCCTCGCTAGAGGAGAATCTTTCCACTTCTTTTGTATTGGCTCTTGAAGGGTTAATGCTGCCTTTTAACTTCTTATCTGAGATTTCCCTATATTTTCCTGCTGTCTGCTTTGTCTACTTGTCATCATCAGCTTGGTTTTCACTAGCTGAAGCCATGCTTTATGCTCAACTTGATTAAATGGTTATTTTTTGTCCCTTTACTGGAAATCTCAGTAAAGCTGTAAACAGAGAGGGTAACTTACAACCTGCCAGAGGCTGTACAAGTGCGGTTTAATTACTGCATATACCTAGTGACCAAACCAAGAAGGTCCCTCAAGTGCTTGGGAGCCAACTAGGTCTATATGCTGTCTTTTTGAACAATGTTCCTGTGCCTTAGTGAGGCAAAGCCTCGGAGTTCAGTCCACTGACCCGCCAGCACATACAAGATGATGTGGCATCTTAGGTCAAAGGATGATTTGGCTTATATTTAAGCCGGATTCTCTGGCCCATCACCAAACAGAAGGCCACAAGCACACTGAGAAGGGAACTTGTGCAAAAAAATAGCTCAAAAAGGAGAGGAATGTTGGTTCCTTGCAGAAATGTTAATAAGGTATCTATATAATGTCTTAATGGTCAAGTCCAGTCACTGACTCTCATATTTGATTGGAAGTGAGACTGCCCTACTCCTCATCTACTTGATATGGGGCAGTAGCTCCTGGACACAGCCAGTTTTGTGCGTGTGGTTGTAGAAATCAAAGGCAAAATCTTTTTGAACAGCATTTCTGGTAGGATGAAGCAGCTGAGAGAAACACTGACGTGACAGTATGTAATCCATTCTACTGGATTCAGTAACCCTTACTGAAGGGCTTTTTACCACATCAAAAGTCAAGTTTTATGATAGGCAGGAAGAGTCAAATGGGTACAGTTGACTTGCCCAATTTTACCTCCTCTTGCTGAAAAGCATTCGGTTAGGTTGGGCAATTTTTTCCAATTCTAATTTGTATGTCAGTGGCCTAATCTCCTTTAAATTAATTTCCCAATATATAAAGATATTATATCCTGTGCTTCCTCGCAGCACATGGTTTTCCAACCCATGGTATACTGATGGGATATTCTGTATCATGAATTAAAAGTTCTCACAAAAAAGGGCTATAAAAGAGGATAATTGCAGACAGCAATTTATCACCTTTACATAGTGCTGAGTGTTTTGTTAATTTTGATTAAGTAACAGGCTGCTAAACTATTCCCTTTGCAGGGTTTGCACCAGGGATGAAGCAGTTTGGTTCTTGGCACCCTAGGATGTGTAAATACCACTGAAGTTTTCCTACAAAATATATAACTATATTAAGATTTGCCAATCTGTTACCAAGAGGGAGTTCCAGCATTACAGTTTGTATATAAAAATAACTTCAAGGAGCACAGGGTGTAAAAAACACTGCAGAACTACTTCTGAGAAGAATGGCTTAGGGCAAGGCACCACAGCAGCAGGGGTTAACTTGCAGCTATGTCACTTCATACCTTCCCAGGTACACTAAGCAGCTTTCTTTTAAGCGACTGGACCATGAATATTCAGTGAATATTCCAATATTCAGTGAGGAGGAGGAAGAGGTAATCTTTTGTCAGTGGTGCAGTTGGTGCTGTGCAGTGATTTTTGTTCCAGGTTCTGTTATAAGGTAGATGTTGGTAGAGATGAAGTGCCAAGAGTTCTGTGCCTCATGTTTGTATCTGGACATGTCCTGATCCACTGCCCATTATTTCCTTATTTACCACGTAATACTTGTTAGTAAAGCTTAACCTTCTGTACCCAGCATCTCCCAAGACAGGGAAGAGTTTGTCTCCAAGGCCAGTTGTGTATTTCCCTGGATTACATGGAAGCCAGTTCTCATCTGGCAGGAAATTAAGATGGCAGTGTTCCAGCCACCAAGCTCTGTCCTGATGCACTGACCAGCCCAGGCACCCAGCCACAGCAATGTGATTTGGATACTGCCCAGCCAGCTTGGAGCACGGCAGAGAAAATCATGGACTGTTTGGGCCTGCCAGGATGCTATACTTCTCCTGTCTGACTTTATACAGAAAGCATGGAGCATAATGACTCTCCACCCAGAGCTCCCTGGTAAACATAATGGAAAGCTGCTGTAGGCCTCAGCAGCAGTAAAATTCAGTAGCTCAGACTTTCAGGTTAAGGCTTTAAACTATAGTAATGGCAACTACTGCATTACTTCAGTGTGAATGTTCATCACTTTCCTCCCAGGGTAATATATTTTTGTCTTTGAAATCAAGAGCAGTCTGAAAGATTAAAATCATCTGCATGGTTTAATAGTTAAACTGCTGTTTCTATAGTCAGCACTTCAGCTGCTTCAGAAGTGAACAAGTCCACCAGATGCTGAATTTGCCTTACACAGCCATTTCTTCCTTGATGAAAATGTGGAAGAAGTTCATGGCAACCTGAGAAAGAAGAGAGATTTGTTTGACCCTGCTATTGTTTCTTTTAGGATGATAATCTCAGTTGGCTATTTTGGACTTTCCCTTGACACACCTAACTTGCATGGAGATGTGTATGTGAACTGCTTCCTCTCAGCAGTGATTGAAGTCCCAGCCTACGTCATTTCCTGGCTGCTGCTTCGCAATCTCCCCCGACGGTACTCAATGGCTGCTGCATTATTCTTGGGAGGCTGTGTTCTTCTCTTCATTCAGCTGGTGCCTTCACGTATGGAACTGTTAGTTGTTCTCACATATGTATGATGGGTGACATTCAGTACCGTGCGTGGGGCAGATGTGGAGGAAAAGTGTCCTAAGGGGTCTAAATACAGATACTTGTGTCCTATCTTTGCCTCTCTTCCATGGTTTTCAGTGCTGCTATGCAAGTAACTGTCACAACATGTCATTCAGATACAGTTTGAAAGGTGGATCATTGACTTTGTGATCTGTTGGGATTAGTTGTAGTCCAGTTTTGCCTCTAAACTACATCTCTGACAGGGTATCCTGATAAAGTCCAGGTGTAAAACCAGGTCTAGACCAACCAGAATTTGGCAAGCAGAAGTTACCAAGGGGCTGCAGAGCTCACTTCCCAAACAGCTATTGATGACTTTAGAGCTTGTTTAAAGAGTTACTTTCAATGGAGTCATTGCGGAAGTATTTTTGATAGGCAGAGATGCTTGTACTGAATTGGTGTTGATAGGTAAAATAAGGTGTAGCTACTGGAAAGGAGGGCCAAGTAGCATTTACTGGATCTCAAATCATATGTATTTTTAGTCCAGGTAAATTAATAGGGTTATGGAATCATTATGGATAATGATATTGAATATAAGAGGAGGTGTTGTTGCCTAGGACTCATTTACAAATCAAAGATATACAAAAGCGATAATGTGCAAGAACTGCCTTGTTTATTTTATACAGGTAATATGTGTGCTGCATTCTCAGGTTTGGCGGGTTTTTTTTCCTGTTCTTTGAGTCAGTTGGAAACTGATACCATCTGTTTTGATTTTCAAATCTTAACTGACTCAGTTTAAGTCAACCTAACTTCCTATAATTAAATTATTATAGCTAAGAGTGTTAATGAAACTAAGAATGTAGCTAAGAATGTTAATTAAAAAACAGGTTTTTAGGAAACCTAAAATAAAATCATTTGTTTCAAATGTTTTGCTTTGTTCACTTTATTAAAACGGGGTATATGGCATTTTTTGCAATAGCAGAGGTCTGGCCCCTGAAACTTGAGAGGATCTCAGCAGTTCTGGCTCCTTATTTTTCAGGGCAGGAAACCCTATTCTCAAGAGAAGATGGAAATGTTGACTTCTAGTAATTTTAAAAAGAACGTTGTTTATGTTTGTGGATGTTTACAGGGAAAAAAGACACCAGATACTGGAGTTAATTAGGCAAGAGTTACACAAACACAAAGGAGTTAAGGGATACAATGAATTGCAAGAGCCTAAGTCCTTACTGTGCTTGGATTTCAGATATCCGTGTGCTGTCTATTCTACTGGTGATGTTGGGGAAGTTTGGAATCACATCTGCCTTCTCAATGGTTTATGTTTATACGGCTGAGCTCTACCCAACAGTAGTAAGAAACATGGGAGTTGGAGCAAGTTCCATGGCCTCCAGACTGGGCAGCATCCTCTCACCTTACTTTGTTTACCTTGGTGAGTCAACTGGTCTGCTGGAGAGATGCTCTGGAGACTCAATTCTCTTGCTTCAATAAGGACATTTCTTACAGCTATTTATTGCCACTCCCTTGAGTTCCTACTGTAGCTGAAGGGGGTCTTGGATAGATACCAAACTGCCAGTTTGAGCCAGAGTCATTTATCCCGTGAGGGACAGCTTTCCCTGGAATCTCAGGCAGGTTTTGGCTACAAGGTACAAATGCAAGCAGTGCCCGGAGTCAGGCTTTCAGCTCATTTGCGAAATCAGGCTTGCAAGTACCTTCTTAGTCAGCAGAGAAAGAGATCGAGAAATGCCGATGAGGAAATTCCATAGAATCATTATTTCTTCTACAAAGGAAGTCCTGTACAGCAAATCCACTGGGTGGGGTTCTAAGGGGACTTTTTAGGATTAAGGGGTCTTGGAAAGTGACCAATAACATAGAGGATTGAAAAGTTAACCAACTACAACAGCTTCTAGGTTAAAATGAACCAATTATTTGAGGAATCAAAAAAGAACCAATTAAATTGCTAATAGATAAAAGTGGAGGTTAGCAAAGAGGGGAGTATTTCTAGTATTAGTCATTGTAATTTATCAGCTTCTTATCTAAGGTATCATGTTCCACGGGGGCCTCTCTTGGGTTTCTGCTTCTTCCAAAGCTGGAGTCTCTGCTCCTTCCACAACTACAACCACATTTATAACAACATACGCTTTGAATGTGAAGTTGTGATGGAGGTTGGTTGGTTTTGTTTTTACTGAAAGCATGAATCTTGCACAGATAAAGCCTTTTTTTTTTTTTTTTTTTTTTTTTTGTGTGTGTGTGTGTGTGTGTGTGTGTGTGTGTGTGTTTTTCTAGGTGCCTATGATCGATTCTTGCCTTACATCCTGATGGGGAGCCTGACTGTGCTGTCAGGAATTCTCACACTATTTCTGCCTGAAAGCTATGGTATGCCTCTTCCTGACACTATTGATCAAATGCTGCGAGTGAAAGGGTAAGTGCCACCTGATCTTAACGCTTCTCTGCTCTGAGGAATGGACTTGCCTAGGCATGTCAGAGGGAGAAGCTGGTTCTGGCAGCAAAGGTAGTACTCTGTTGAAAATACAAAAGCTTAGCTGAAGTCTTAATCCCTCTTCCCAAGTGTAAATGTTCATGTGTACATCTCTCAGCTCCAAATTTATCATTTTACTCTGATGACTTAATAAAAGTACATCTGAGGAATGCATTTTAAAAGTGTGCTGCTTTATCAAGGTATACAGACGTTGTAGGTCCTGAAAGTCTCCTAAGTGCTGGGCAAGAGCTGAACTCTTCCAGTTTAGTTCAGCTGATCTAAAAGGCACTGAGAGCATTTGGCCTTTTGCCATGGCTCTTGATGGAAGATGACACATGAGCATAGGCATGGTGTAAGTAAGGGACGTTTTCAACTGAAGTCAACAGGATATTAAAATTAGGAGGTTGTAATGTCAAATAGGACTCAGATTTTTTTTCTAAGTTCTCTCATCTGTTTTTAAAGTTATTTTATTTTTTCTTTCTTCAACCCCCAGATTAGAGTACAGGCCTCCATCTAGTAGCACAAGAGATTCCAAGGAGGAAGAAGAAAATCCAGAGATTTTTAAAAGCACAGCTTTTTGATGGAACTCCTATGTATTTCCTGGTAGACTGAAAGTTAAATGGACTTTCCTTCTAAAATTTATTCTAGAAAGGGCTAGTGGTAACACTTTGTTTTCTGTAATTTTAACCTTATTTATTAATTTAAACACCATGTTCCTTACATTTTCTTTTTATATGAACATAAATACTCTGTAGCCTTCAAGGAGATTCTTCAGCCATGGTTGTGTTCATGCAGTAGTACAATGGAGCAGAATCTGATCAATCCTTTGTAACTTTACACCCATAGTTCAGCTGAAAGATACTTGAAAATTATTTCAAGGGCTGGCAGGGTGCCTGGATTCTTCCGTGAACCTTCTCCAGAGCTAATGCTTACATCATGAGGTAAAAATCGCCTGAAAAAATTGCTCATTGCTTTTGGTTCGTTGACTTCTGTTTCTGGACAGGAAACTAATTTATTATAGTGAAGGTTTATGAGAATGTGCCTCTCTGTGATCTTACTCAAATGACTTTGCATGTGCTGAATTTGCTACCAAATTGAGAAAGGTACAAAGAAAGATTTTGAGAATTAATTCTAACCTGATGTGTTTTAACTTGGCATAGACAGAAAGGATCATAATGGACAAAGTATCTGGTACTGTAATTTTATTCACAAAATTCACTTGATTCCAATGCTGTATTTCAACTGTACCTTCTTGGTGAAGTTGTTTACATTTGACCTTAGATGTTGACTTTTTATGGGCTGGATTTATTATAAATAATGTAAATGGTTTCACCTGTGTGTAGAGGGAGTGGTGTTAGTTTGGGATTCTCCCTTTTGAATGTGTGGTGAAAGTTTCATGTGTAAATTGTTTTAATGTTTTCTGTGCAATTTGTATGATGGAAACAATTTTCCTGTCTTTGTTCTGTGTTTTTCCCACTCATGTACACGTGCACACAATTTATTTAGTTGTAAATTTTTATGTTAATCGTGCCACTGCATTGACCTCATGGTGGAATGTACTGAGAACAAAACTCAGAATATATCTCTGACCACTTGTTCTCTATATTCAAGTGTCAGCTATATGATTGCTCTGAGGTCTGTTCATTCTAAGTTAAGTTTCACTTAACTTATGTAATCAGTGAATTGCTTTTAAATTGTTTTAAAAAACCAACAAACCCACAAGTCTTGTTGACAGTCTGCCAAGAAATTGTTCCTTGTGCTATGGAAGTCTGGCATTACCTGTGTTTCTTTAAATATACAATACATATGTACACAGTCTCATTTGTGCTATACTGGTTACAGTGTGACAAATGTGAGTGGTGAAAGGTTTCTTTCTCATGGCACTTGTGTTTTGTTCTGTCTTGTTAAATTTAGACAATAATAATAAACAGCCTAAGCCTTTGTAGCCTAAACTTTCAGGGTCCTTACTCTACTGCAGCAGCTGGTTGGGGAAGTTTTGCATTTTCCTATGGTGTTTAAATATACTGGCTGATTCCAGTCTTTCATTAATCAATATCCCAAATTCTGATCTTGGTAACAGACTCCAGCAGTGGGACTGATGTGTACCTTGAACTGCTTGTCACAAGAAGAAAGTAGAAAATGCTGTATAGAAGCTGTGGCTGGCCCATCTCTGGAAATATTCAAGGCCAGGTTGGATGGGTTTACAGCAACCTGATGTAGTGGAAGGTGTCCCTGTCCATGGCAGGGGTTGGAATGTCAGCTTTAATGTCTCTTCCAACTCAAACCAGTCTGTGGTTTCATGTAAAACACATGGTGCCTCTATCAGCCTGTCCACCGTGGTTTTTCTTAACATTTGGGGTCATTCTTCTGAACAGAGCCTGGGAGCAGTATTCTACAAATTCTTGTGCAGAAACAAGTGCTTCTGAGAAGAGAAAAAAAAAATCCCCCAAACCAGAGACTTCACCAGTGCAGTCTCAGTAGTTTCTGGAGGTGGATGCCCGTAGCTGCAGGGAGACAGTTTTTCTGTCTCACTTGCACTGTAGATCTTTGAACTCTTAGGCCAGTAAATCTTACCTCTGTCACTTGACTCTTTGCCTGCCTTTGACAAACTACAAGTGTACTGTCTCCTAGGTCAGCTTTACTTCAAGGCAAAGTAAATAATGCATGATAAGCAGCAACTGTCCAGGTAATTGATTGAATTCCTGAAGAAAATACCTTAAAAGTCTGCAGTCCTGGAGTGAGCATTCCTGGTAGCAGCTGTTGCCTCTTGAAGTGAGCAGCTGTGCGGGAGAGGTATTGCAGACCAGCTGAGGAGGATGTTCCTTGTTCCTTCAAAGCACTTCTGAGAGCTGCAGCTTTTCTTCCCTTGTCTGTGTTGGTGTTAGCTTTCTGCTAGAAGTGAGACTGCTTGAAGGATCTTAATTGTTACCATCTGGAGGCCCCTTTGCCCCTAGGGTGAACCAACTTAATTTCTTTTTGATTTATTCATGAATTGTTCTTAGCCATCAGAACTCTTCAGTGCTCCGATAGCTTTATTCAAGCCACCAGAGTCCATGCAGCTCTTGCTCTCAATTGCAGACAGGGAGGAAGGTCGGTCAGAGGGAGCTCTCTTGTTATGGGACTGCTGCTTTCCCATGAAGAAAGGCACTCCCACCATCCCAAGCACCTCCACTTCATGTCCCAAAGGGTAAATGACCTTGTGGGAGCTGCGTCTGCCATATCTACAGGGACTCATAGAATCGTTCAGGTGAGAAAAGCCCTCTAAAATCATCGAGTCTAACCATTTCCCCAGCACTGCCAAGCCCACCACTGAACCCTGTCCCCAAGTGCCACATCTACATGTCTGTTTAAACCCCTCTGGTCCCTTCGGTGGCTATCCGAAGTGCTTCTTCACCTGTCCTACTCCAAGTGAGGTGAATATCAAGATCGGGCGTCTGGGGAAGAGATAAACTCCCCATGTAAGAGGCAGCCTGGGGGAGTCCCTTTGCTCGCAGCCCAGGCGTGCCCTCGGCTCCGGGCCGGTCCCCTGGGCTCCCCCCGTCCCTGTTCCCCCAGACCCTTCCCTGAGGGTGGCTGGCAGTCCAGGCAGCCCCTTCTTCGCCAGGAAAGGGAAAGCGAAAGAGGCGCGCGGTGTCAAATGGAGCCGAGCTGAGAGCGGAGCGGGCCTGGGAGCGACGGGAAGGGTGCCGACCCTGGCGAGTCTGGCAGCGGGGATGGAGGCACCGGCTGCTGCCGAGTCCCTTCCTGGCCCGTCGGCTCTCCCTTTTTCCTCATCCTCCTCCTCCCCGCCCCGGGCAGGTACGAGCTCAGGAGCGATACCCTCCCGTTCGGGGATGATCTTCCTCCGTCCCTCACCTCCACTTCGCCCCTGCACCGGTCCGGACGCTGCCGTGTCTCGCCGGCTCCTGCACTCCAGGGGCTGGTTCTTGTGAGCTCTCGTTGAAGCCTCTGAAAGTCTGACCTTCGCATATATTTATCACTTGAAGGTAGTAAAATACTGGCATAGATGTCCTAGAGAAGCTGTGGATGCCTGTTCAAGACCAAGTTGAATGTGGCTTGGCGCGACATGGTCTAGTAGGTGTTCCAGCCCATTGCAGGGCGTTGGGACTGAGCGAGCTTTAGGGTCCTGATCAACCCACACCATTCTGTGGTTCTATGATTCTGTTTGGGAGGGGGTTTTTGGTGCATGTGTTCCCCAAAGTGCTGGGGAGCTGCTGCCCAAAAAGCTGCTGCTTTGATGGTTCAGTTCATGCTGGATCCTATGGCAAGTTCCTATCTTCAAGTTTCCAGCTGCTTATAATTCTGCCAACTTTAGTTGTTTGAGCTGAAAATGTTCCGACCTGGGTGACTGCCTCAGCTTGGCTTTCCTTTCTGTATTTATTTATTTTCTTCCCTCCAAGAGGGAGACAAAGACTGACCCTTGGCTCTCAGATGGCCATAGTTCTGGTGACCTTTCCTTGGAGCAGCACTGCCTGCTCAACCTCCTTCTTAACTCCAGCAGGGAATTTGTATTTGGGAAGGGAGAACAGATTTTGTAAAGTTCTGCTGCTCAAGTATAAGCTGATTTGCAAAATTATAATAAATTATAATTTCCTTCTGTTCTATCACAAGTTGAGTATTGACTGTAGCTCTGGTACACATTGCTGCTGGTAGAGCCAGAGTGTGAAGAAAAGGCCAGGAACCTGAAGAGGGTGAGGCATAATGTGGGTTTAGTGGACACTGCTGGGATAAGGGGTTAATGTTGAGGTTGGGTTAAGACCATATTATAAGTCAGTGAGGATGGAGACCAGTGAGGACAGGGTCTCCCCACAGGTAGCTGCTGTGGACCTGAGTGGCCCAGGCTTTACCCTTTCCTTGGCAGATGAAATACAGTTTGTTCCTCTAGCAACAGCTGTGATCTTTCTTTTCCTTTTGAGAACAGAGCCTTCAATATATAACAGCTGAGGCCATGCTTAGGACTTGCCTTTCCACCAGTCCAGCTGTAAATTAGTGAAGAGCAAGAAACATCCTTCAGCTTCCCCTTCAAAAGGCTGCTGGAGCAGGCAAAAATGAGTGCTGCGGATGGGGAGCAGCTGTGTTCAGGCCATGCTCATGCTGCTGTGAGTTCATACATTCACATTTGCTTGTTTTTAAATTGAGTGTGCAGTGGCCTCAGGCATACACCTGGCCCAGGTAACCTGCCAGCACTATGAGGGCTAGAGCCAGGCTGTAGGGTCAGACAAACAGTGGGCAGTGTCTGGGTGAAAGATGCTCAGGCATCCTTGTCCCAGGCTTGTGTGTTGTGCTCAGGAGCTGGGATGGAGGGTGCTCTAGAAGCAGCAGTTGGAGGACTATCTCCAGAACCCAGCCTGGTTGCAGGGTGCTTGGTGGTGATTGTGCCGGCAGGAGCAGCACCTGAGGAGAAACTCTTTTAGAACTGCTGAGTGCCCAGAGCAGCTGCAGAGCTTATCTTTGCATGTGTCAAATACTCGTTGATATCTTTTGGAAATTAGGTGGTCTAAGTCAATCACTAGAAGTGGAAAACATTATTGTCACTGTACTGTCTCAGATCAGGAAATGAGACTACTATGCCCAGCCCTGGCATCTCACAAGAAGTATTCTGGCAGTGTCTACCTTGAAAGAGCTGGTGAGATGATGCAGTTTGTTTTCAGAGTAGGGTTTTACCAGCACGGAGAGAACAGCAGGCTTGGGCAGCTCAGAGAAACTGTAAGCAAGTGAGAACACTTCGGCTGCTGCAGGGAATGGGGCAAGGAACAGCACAGACACATTGGTGTTGCCTGCGTGTCTTGTAAAGAGCATTGTGGGATTTCAGTGTTCAGAGTCTGAATTTGTGACCATGGTTCTGTTGTTTCTCCATCAAAACCTTGCTCCCAAGGGAAATTACCTGAGCCCATTATGATTCTGTACCTAAAGATACAATTTCATCAATGGAAAAAGTGCATGAGCTCTGACACAGGAAATATTGGCTGAGTATGGCCCATGGCTCTTATTCAGCTTATCAGGTCTTGGACACTGGCACCAGTTTATGCTACAGGGAGCTGAGCACTTTGCACTGCACTGAGATCAGGGCGCACTGGTGAATAGCTAAATCTCCAGGCTCTGTCAGGGAACATTCGTCCTCCACTTCTCCTCTAGGAATAAGCACAGACTCACAGTCGTTTTTACCCTTGCTGAATTTATAACAACAGCATTATCAAGGCTTTCACAGTTGCCCTGAAGTCAGTGAGGGGACAGTGTATAGGAGTTGTGGGTGGTGTTATTCTCTGAGTTGAAAACACACAGGTGCCAGAACCCTCACCACAGATTCCCTTTCTTTCCTTCTGCTTTCTGTTTTGCAAATATTCCACAGACTGGACTTGCTGCTTCAACGCAAATACTGCTCCATGTATGTGCTAATACATAAAACTGCCTCTGATTCTGCTTTTTGCATTGAGGTGTAGATTTTTTTTTTGTGTAATAATCTAACTGGGTTACTAAGAAAAGCCTTTAGAACAGAAATGTTTACTCAAAACCATAGCTTCTAGCATACCAGCATGGCCAGCATGCTCAGACCAACCTCTGTCCTGGCTCACAGCCTGTGAGAGAGCCAGGTAGGAATTCCCAGGACACCTCCAAAACAGCACCTTGCAGCCAGCAGACTCCATGGGGATTTCTTCTGGTCCCTCTGTGCAGGCTGGGGAGGAGAAGGGACTCCTCAGGAATTGTCCTAGCTGCTCACAGCTCTCTGCCCCTAGAGCAATGCATCTCCATGGGTGACTGCAGAAGTGCTGGCTCCCTCTGGGCTGTCACTCCCTGCCCTCTGCCAGATCCTGACCCAGCCATATCTCAGTGATCTAGAAAACGTCAAGGACCTTTATGCGAGTTGCCAAAACATTTATCCTTGGTGATTATCCTTCTAATATGTCCTCTCCTCAGAGGCTCTCTGCCTCTCCACCTCAAACTGCTTCAACATCTACTTTGAGTTCAAGCTGAGTATGCTATGCTCCACAAGTCTTCACTGACTATAAATCAGCTTCAAGTATTCTATTTAGCCCAAAATATCTGTGTAGAGTCAAGTGTATCTCAAACTGTGTGACTGAAGGCAGCATGTGGCCACAGCTCCACTCTCAGATGTGCAGGGCACCTTTAGGCGTGTTCTCAGGGTTTGTATTAAGTGTGGGGTTTCCTGCAAGAGGACACGGGAGGAGAGATTAGTGTAGGACAACATACTTTCTGCTCGGGGCTTTTGGCCATTCCTCAGCACCTTCTGCAAGAACCTCAGCTCTGCTGGGGAGCCCCTAGGTGTGGGGATGCACAGGACAGGGACCTTTCTTCCCCCCAGTGCTGATTCCAGTGCTCCTGCTGCTTTCTTTTTGATGACTTCTCTTCTGGCTGGAATTTCATAGGGAAGCTCATGTGAGATGAGGCTGGAAGGAGAGGACAGAAGGAGTGTGGAGGTGAGCTGTGTATACCTCTGGGGACTGCAGACCTGCAGGCGGCCCTGAGTGCTGGCTGGAGGAGTTGCCCCAAAGCAACTCCCAGACAAGCTGGGAGGAGCTCCTGCCAGCCCTCTCCTCTCCTCTCCTCTCCTCTCCTCTCCTCTCCTCTCCCCCTCACCCCCAGCCTCACCCCACCCCCCCCTCCCAACCCCCTCACTCCCAGTTCCCAAAACCTGGACATGGATCCATTTTGGTTTTGTCCATTATT